TGAAAGAGGATGCTTGGAGGTAAAACGGCATATCTGCTTCCAAAAAGAAGAAAGGGAGAACAAGAGAAAAGTAGAACGAGAGAAAATGTGCCAGTGTGGTGTAGTGGGAGATTATTACACCATGACGCTAACCCATTGGCAACCCAAAATAAATGAAATCACTACCTTAGCACTGCAGTCGTGTGTTAGATTGCACTTTTCTCTGAAAATTGGGATGTATTCGCAATAAGACTGGCAGGAACTGACCGCATGCTTGAGATCGTACGCTTTTTTATGCGTAATTGCGCAATTTCTACGCCGCTAGAAGGGAGGGAGCAGTGAAGTCTCACGCCGATACGCTTGTGAGATCACGCAATGACGGCGGGCCCGGCGATCGCATTGGTTGCTCCACGCTGGATTATCGGGTAATTGTGGTCATCCACGGGTTCCACCAGTGAATGAAAAGTGGCAGTTTTAATGCAGGATAACAGCGGTTTGCGCACTGCGTCATGAGGTCAGGCCTATGGCCAAAACTGGTTGGTTTGTGCTATAACTGATAGTGGGATAATTTCCGTGGTTTGAGCATTTTACTATGGCTCCTGGATCAGGGTTTGAATCCTAGCTTATCCTTGTAAACCCACTGGGTGACCTTTACTATGGCTCTGGAGACCAGGGTTCGAATCCTAGCTCATCCACGTAAACCCACTCGGTGACCTTGGGTAAGTTCTTGCCACTGTCATTTTTAAGACTTGTGATGTTCCAAATAATGCAGAGCTTGGACAGAAAAAAAATGTACTTTTTTGGACCACAACACCCAGAATCCCCAGCAGTAGTCATGCTGGCTGGGGGATTCTGGGAACTGGAGTCCCAAACAGAAATGTCCCCCACCTCTGGCTCCAAGACCTTTTTATCCAAGCCTTGGGCTGCTGCCACGTTGCCGAATTAATGCAGTTGTCACACACTCTCAGCCTCAGAGGAAAGCAATAGCAAACCCCCTCTGAACAAATCTTGCCAAGAGGCATATGCATTTTGGAATATGGTCATTGACTGCAATAAAATGACTGACTGAATTTTTTCCCAAGGAACAAAAAATTGCTAAATTGCAGTGCTAAGGTAGTGGGGTAAGGGATTATTTAGAAATCTGGTTTTAATTGTATTTTGTATTTTATTTTTATTCCGATTTGCCTTGACCTGCAGGGAGAGGTGGACTATAAATAAAAAATGTATTTATTATTATTATTATTATTATTATTATTATTATTATTATTATTATTATTATTAAAACTCCATGATAGGTTTGCCTTAGCGTTGCCATAAGTCCAAAATGACTTGAAGGCGCCCGACAACAGCAACAACGACAACAAACTTTGAGTGAAGAGAAGCGAAACTTCCAGACTGACTAAAGGAAAGCAACAACTGCAGAGAGTATTGAATTCCCTCATTTCTTTCTTTCTTTGCTCAATCCGCTCATTGCGCTTACGACCAAAATGGAAACGTTTCATCAAGATGACAACTTTTGGAATATTTTGTCAAGCATGAAACACCGCTTTTGTTAACCAAGAGGCTGACAAGATGCTTTATAAGCCTCTTCTTGTGGTTTTCCTCCTCTCTTTCAGGAGCCTAGTGAGGAGCTGAGCTTCAGTACCTAAATTTAACCTTCCTTGAAACCATTTCGCTCTGAACAGATACGGAGCCAATGTTTGGGAAATTGAATTAAAGGAGTGTGCGTGAGCCATGGGACAAGAGGAACAAAGAATTTGTCATGGATAAGGAGAACAAATGCTGGAAGGAATGACGATTCTCCTCCAGAACTGCGGATGCCAAACCCTCCAAAATCTCACAGATGGAAACCTGGGACTTATCTGTAGACGAATAGTTTTTAAAATGAGCAGAAATGATAATATATAATAATATAATTCAACTATGGGGGAGAAGCAAAAACAAAAAATAAAGTGTTAAAGGAAAACCTAAAAAGTGATAGTTAACTCATAAAAGGAAGTCAGATAATGATTGAAGATTTTAGAAACTGTTATATTAAAATTATAAGGAGAAATAAAGCACGTTACAATAATAAAGCAACATTTGATTTTAGAAACGAATGTAGGATGATTGATTGATAATGTTAAGTTAATGCATGTTTAGTTAGGATTTACGTTGTCCTTGTGTTTTTGTCTTGTTTTGTTTAACGTTCTATTTTTCTGTATGCAAACTGTTTATGAATGAATGTATGGATGAATGTATATTTATGTGTATATGTTTAAAGATTTAATAAAATTAAAAATAAATGAGCAGAAATGAAAGAAATGGACAAATTAACAAATTATACTGGATAATAAAGACTCGGAATTTATTGAAGAAGAATGGGCTCCAATAGAGAAATATATTAAAAATAACTGGAAGTAAACAAGCTAAGATATTAAAAGAAAAGTAACGTAATTGGTTTATTAGTAAGAATCGTAAGAAAAATAATCTAAGATAGAAACTTAAGAACAATTGAAAATATATAAAGTACTCATTGTGGAAGAACTAAAGGAAGGTTGTATATATGTATTGTAAATAGAACTTTTGTACTAAAAGTATGTATTGTATAAATTGTTTTAATTATGTAATAAAAATTAAAAAAAGAAAAGAAAACCTGGGACTTATGTGGCCAAGCATCTCCAGATTGTGATCAAGATGTCAAAAGTTATGAAAGAAAAAAGCCCATCAGGAAAAGATTGGGAAAAAGCCAAGAGAAGAGAAGCCATAGAACTAGATATGCTAACCGCATTAATAAAAGAAAAATCAGTAGAAGATATAGAAAAAGAACTGGCAACCGTTTAAAAAAATATTGGCACTGACACTATGAATGACAAATTCTGACACACGGTGAACTTAAATAAAGACAAACGAAAAAAAGGTATGATTGCAATATAAATGTAAGATAAGAAAGGAAGATAAAGAAAAAGTGAGATAAAAGAAAAAGAACGGCAATCAAATAAGGGTTTCAAAAGGGAAAAAATCTTAAGAAAATGGGTAAGATTAAGGAAGTCAAAAATGAAAATCAAAAAGGTTATAGTAACAAAGAAAGCTGAGTTTATGTGCAAATTGTATGTTAGTGTCTGTAAGAATGTTTTTAATGGATGTTTTAATGTATGTAAATGTTTGTAAAGTATATACGTATATGTAATGTTAAAGTATGTTAAATATATATATATATATATATATATATATATATATATATATATATATATATATATATATGTTATGAATGAGGAAGACCAGACTTAGCCACTTCTTTCTCACATTTGTCTACACTGCGGACTTAAACCAGGGATGGAACTGGTTCTAAGAGCCCTGCTTTTGCTTTTGCATCCCATTGCCATTCCTGATTCCCAGCCTTCCTCCTTGTGTTGTGTTGTGTCTCCTACTGGCCCTGCAGTTGATTTATTGGAAGTTTCACAATACAATACTTTGCTGAGCAGTTGGTGGATTTATGTGGCTCAAAGCAAACCATTAAATAAATCACTCTGTAATTTATATGAATGAACCCTGATCACGAAGTCAGGGGTGGAGAGGAGATCGTTCTGCAAATCAGTCTGCAGGGCTTACAAAAACTGAAGGCTTCTCCATGCACGGGAGTATTTTAGGGAGAGGGAGAAATAAAATATGTCGGCAATTTATATAAGGAAACGCCTAATGCCTCAGGAATGACTTTGTTGGACTTCCCTCTTTATTGTCTCAGCTTCTAGGAGTGTGTTTGTGTGTTTGTAACAGAGGAAAAAAGAGAAATGAAAGGAAAACAAGACCACGTATTTCCTTCTGACTTAGGACCAGAGGTGGGGGACTTTAGGCCTTACGGTCAATTCTGCTCCCCATGAGGATACTAAAGCATGGAAGATGCTTTTTTAAAAACCTCCAACTTTTCCCATATTGATCAAGATCCCATGGAAATACTTGCTCTTGCAACAGCACTCATTGTTGCACAAGCCCTCCTGCTGAGTTAATTGAATGAAACCTACTTTTGCACCTTGAACTGTTTTTGCATCCACTGAAGCAAGCTGAGGATGAAGGGAGGAGGAGAGAGAAACCAGGACATTTGAGATACAGCTGAGAAAGTGGGACAGCAGAGGATTAATTGGAGAAGTTCCTGCCAAGCCAGGACAGTTGGAAAGAATATAATATAATATAATTTCCAAAAGGCTAACCTTGATTTAGCCATTTTATATAAGGGACACCATTTTGCTACCCCACTGCATATATTGGGACTTGAGCATCCACAGATTTTAGTACCCAGGAGAGGGTCCTGGAACGAAACAGCGGATACCAAGGCCCCACTGTACTCAGTTCAATTTTGTGCACATGGAAGGCCATTTACAAAGTCCCAAGTCCTAAATCATGAGCGCTAGCATGGTTTGAGCATTGGACTAAGACTCTGGAGACCAGGGTTCAAATCCTGGCTCAGCCGTGTGAACCCAATGGGTGACCCTGGGCAACTCACGCTCTCTCAGCCTCAGGTGATAGCAATGGCAAACCTCCTCTGAAGAAACATACCAAGAAAAACCCATGATAGGTTCGTCTTAGGGTTGCCATAAGTCAGAACGACTTGAAGACACACAACAACAGCAACAACAAAGTCCCAAGCAGACTGCCCACCACATTTCGTAAGGCAATGCTCTCCCTGTGGTCCAAAAAAGATGGGCCAGGTCCTGAGATCTGGGAACCCTGAGCCCAAGGGAGCAGAGAGGAGAGAAAGGGATCCATCCTGCTTCCAAACACAATGGGAAGCCAACCTTTTCAGGAGTCGGGTCAAGAGATCAAGCTCCCTCTTGTGCTTTTAATGGAGTGTCCTGAAGTGGCTTTAATCTAGTCCTGGACTCTGCGGAGGGAACCACCTTCCAGGAGCTGGTCTGTGAAAGAAGCAGATATGAGTAATTTCACACTTGGCCACCTCCGGCTTGTGTGAGACCCCTGGGGCTTCTTCTTCTCTCTGATTTTCGACTTCTCTCTCCTCCTTCCCCTCCATCCATCTACGGACTTCTTCATTTAAACAAGCTGAACTTCCTTGACATTACTTTCCCCTTCTGCACCTGATGCCATTCCCTCTTCTCCTTTTTAAAAAGAAGTATACTGTGACAACAGAGGATGTGGGTTGCCTTGGCTTGCCAGGTTAGGACTATACCAGGCACTGAGATTTTGGGGCCCAAAACTGATCCCCCCCCCTTGACATTACAAGAGGCAGCCTTGGTTTGCCATTATCCTTGATATTTTAAGCATCAACAAGAGTTGGACAGAGTTTTCCATTCAAATAAATGAGGAGCATATATATGTACATAGGCTTTTCAAGGTAGCTCTGTCCTGATTTGACAGGGACAGTCTCCATTAATCCTCTGTTGTCCCACTTTCTCAGCTGCTTTTAAAACGTCCCAGTTTCCCTCTCCTCCTCTCAGTTTCCTCCTTTGTGACCAGCTTACTTCAGTTGCTGCAAGCAGTTCAAAGTGCAAAAGTAGTTTGCATACAATGAATTGAGAAGGGGGGAGAAGAGAAGAGGGAGCAGAATCTTGCTCTTCCCAGCCAAAGCAAACTGCCCTATGGGTCTACTCAAGCTGGCATTGACTAATAGAATCCAGGCCATTGTTAATATGTAATTAAACTATCCATAATTTCTCCTTCTTTGGAGATTTTTAAACAGAGGCTGGATGGTCATCTGTTGGGGGTGCTTTGACTGTGTATTCTTGCATGGCAGAAGGTGGTTCTTTATGATTCTATGAAGGCAAGATGCTTTAATAAAAGCAAAAGATAAATGCACCCCCCCCCTTGGGAAAGCAATAATACAATCAAACAATAGAACCGAACTGTCGTGTGTTCCTAAGTTTCACTCTGTGTTTTAGACTGAACCTTAAAGAAGTATCCTAGCTATGTCCAAGCTAGGATTCAGCACCTTGGATAGCTCCTTTAAAGTGTGCGCTAGAGCCTAGGATGGAGTCACTATCCCTTCGACATGGGAGCCACCGTCTCCTCAGTGTCATCCATCATTGTCCCAGTTCATCAGCTCTGATACTGGGAGCGAGTTTTGGCTCATGCTTCATTGGTACATCTTCACCCGAAAAGCATTCCATAAGGAACCACATTGTTGGAATGCAAAGGGAAACTCTGCCTTTGTTGTTGCAGAAATCTGTGCGCGCGCGTGGCTGATGCATGTTTATTTCTCTGGCCTTCATCTTCCCAGCATCCTTGTCCCTTGCACACTCGAGGGCTGAGCCATGGACACGAGAGGTCAGGCCTGCCTCCTCTTCAGTGCCCTGGCTGCCTTGGACACGGTGCTGTTTGCGTACATAAACATTGCCGAGGCCAAGAGGGCTGCGGAGGGCATCGGCTGCTGTCTCTGGACCGGTCTGGGGTCAGCAGGAGGAGGGTGAGGGCTCTTGCCAAAGAAGAAGCCCCGCCACCATCTCCGGCCGTTGGCTGTTTGATGGACTCCATCAGCATGCAGGCTGTCTGCTTCAGTTGCTCTGCATGTGAAGCGTGTGGCCTTTGTCTGGCCGGCTTCTATGCCTCAGCCCCCCAGGAAAGTGGCACTCTCTGGCCTCATCTGCATTTCATTACCCAGAGCCCCATTCTCCCTCCCCATCCAGCAAAGGAGAGACGCAGAGAGAGGCAGCCAGTTCTGCCTTACAGTCACAAATAATGGCAGCGTTGAACATCTATGCGCATCCCGTCTGCACATCTCTGGTTGCTCCTCCTTCAGAAGTGCGGAGCTGAAGCCTGGGGAGGAGGCATGAAATGACAAGGATGGAGGGATATACTCCTGCACT